GATTGAATATACATTTTCTCTTGACTTTGTTTATTTTTTTCTCTATTTTTTGTTCTATTTTCATTTTAACATGACCCACCCCTAAGTCATGCTCATTTTGGTGCATAGCCCACCCTTTTTTGAAGCAGAAAAAAAATAGCCCACCCGCTAATTTTGCCAGCCGCACCCATCCCTGTACTTTATGACCAGTCCCTTATTTAATGATTATCAACTGGAACAAAGACATTGTTGTAAGATACTTTAATTTTTCACACAGAGGCATCATCAGGACTGATCGTTGAGCCAAATATTGTCAAAAGGTTGAAGTATTATACACTTTGAACGAAAATACATCTTTGGTAAAGATAGATTTGATGGTCAGGAAAAAAAAAACAATAAAACCGATTACAATTCTGCCTGATAAAGAGATGAATAAGCGAGCTGCACCTGTGTTTCCACATCAACTAGGTTCCAAAGTATCGATAAGTGGATCCCTTTCAGATATATTGTCCAAACTTGATCTGTTGATCTGTATGGAACTCTCATCTGTTAGTTTCGGCAAATAGTTACCCCAGAGAACATATCAGTTCTTCTATAAATAAATGTCAGACACTGAATATAACAGGTCTGTATGACAGTGTTGATCTAATGAGATTTCAGGCCTCCTTATAAAGTTCACATACAGCGGATTAAATTTGAGCACTACGACGTCTATCTAGTGAGCTGACACTAAAAGGTAACGTAGCTGTATGGCAAGCAAGGGATTTTTACGGGAGGATGGACAGACACGAAAGTTGACTGGACTTCAAACTAACGCTTTCACTAAAGGCACATTGGGTGAAAGCCCAATAGTTGCCTTCTTTTAGGGGACGATTTTCGGAGGGTTGGATAAAGCTATCTACTCCATAGGTTTTATATGGATTTTATCCCCTGGATACAGAGTTTTCTGGTAGATAGCGCTATTTATTGCATGATTATTAAATTTGTCGTATTTCTTACGTTTGGCATAAATATGAATTTGAAGTGCATCCTCCCTAGTAAATTTTGATTCTGTCCCTCGATTTTAACTCAACATTATATTATATGGGGGGAGGTAAGAGTGCAGAACATACTCCCCCCTTGGCTACGGCAGTTATCATCAACGCTAGTCACGACTGATAAACTAAGTATAGAGAATGTAAAACCTATTCTAGTTTCACAATGGTTTCGATCAAATACTAAAAATTTCATACTTGGTCAATGGATGTGGGAAGATGATTGTATTTAGGGAATAAGAAAACGATGCGGTATAGGATTACAATATAGTACATATTTGAGGTCCGGCGAGAAGGATGATTATACAGTGCATATTTTTTGTTGACCCCTCATCCTCGACTTTCCGAATGCACTTTTGAATGTTTTAATATTAATTTATGTGTTAATATCTCGCTCGGTTTTTCAAATTTAAAAAAGGTGTTCACAATACCAATTAAGTTTTGAACATTTGTGAAATCAATTTTATTTTCAAACAGTTTACCGACAAAAAAAATTTAAATTTTAAGTATTTGTCGCGGGCTGGCCTAGAATTTTCTTTTGGGAGAGCTGCAGGTGCAACGGAAGGGTGCATCACCACCACTTAGGAAATCATATCCCTTTCCCSAGAAAAAAAGATCGACCGCGACAGCTAGCATCGAAGGCCAGATCTAATTACTTTATTCCTTCATTTTAGGAAATGATCTGTAAAATGTCACTGAATAAACAAAGAGATTTATTGTGCCTAGTCGTGTTTATGTGCTTCACTAGAACACGTGAAGGTAATGTGAAATAACCGCATTTCGAAATATTGCATTTTCAAAAACACTTGTGCGTATTACTGAAAGCAAGTTCTTACTTGGTTATTCTTATAGTTTTTGATGTTTATATTTATAGAGCGGATTTCTTATGACTGTGCAAAGGCACGGATCACGGCACGGACACGGCACGGCATGGTCACGGAATTCCGCCTTCTAAGATTCCAAATAAAAATTTTACAATGCATCACCACTACGGCACGGTACGGTCACAGCGCGAAAGTATCGTGTTTTTCGCACAGTCATACGAAATTCGCTCTATTTAGACGTGTCTATGAAGCTCAACTACTCTCACGACGTACAACATGCTCTCCGCTAAAAATTAATTAAGCATATTGATACGGCCCAATGCCGGTTCGTCCTGTGCTTTCACAAAAGGAGAAAGTGAACGTAACCTTTCATGCAAAACCCACCGGAATCATTGGATTCGTATGCATTTACACTTTTATAATTCCAATTCAATATTTTTTCTATTTTTAATTGTTTTTGTTGCTTTGCACCGCAAGAGGCAATTGAAGCATCTGCTACAATTTGTTCGGCATAGAGTTTTCCGCTGAAACCGAGTTCCTATTATCATACCTGAATGCTTGTTTCAGAACATGAAGAATGCAATGCTGTCAACAAAGATGCTGCTGGTACAGGTACAATTATAACAATCGCCGATGTTGAGAACCGTGAATCGCGCTATTGAGGGATGAATCCCAATTCTTATGATAACTGAGGCCCGCGCTATACGCCGAACTTCACATGTGCCGAATACAATTCACGAATTAAATGCATGTGAGATGCGGCGTATAAATCAATTACATTCGACAGTATTGGATTATATACGACTTCAGTCCAATCTGCGACTTAAACAGTCGAAGATACGTCAATGGTGCGGCAGTTGATTTATACGCCGTATCTCACATGTGCCGAATGAAATACATTAGTAGTAGTAGTAGTAGTGGCAGTGGCAGTAGCAGTGGAAGTGGCAGTGGCAGTGGCAGTGGCAGTGGCAGTGGCAGTGGCAGTGGCAGTGGCAGTGGTAGTGGTAGTGGTAGTGGTAGTGGTAGTGGTAGTGGTAGTGGTAGTAGTAGTAGTAGTAGTAGTAGTAGTAGTAGTAGTAGTAGTAGTAGTAGTAGTAGTAGTAACATGAATTAGAGTGAAGTCAATGAACCCGTGAAATACATATTTGACTATTACATGTTATTACTCGATAATTCCATTGTTTTCTTTTGTGTCTATTTGACTATTACAGTTTAATTATTAACTTTTATTTCACAGGATCAATGCCTTCACTCTAAGGGTTGTCCACAAATCTTATTTTTTTTTTGTGTGTGTGAATGGTGTTTTTGGTGGTATGAATGAAGAAGAGAAGGGAAATAATGAACATAAAATGAAAGTATGCATGGGAATGGAAAGGAGAGAAGATGAATAGATGGGGAAAAGAAGGGAAAAAAGGAAAGAAAACGAAAAAACAACAACAACAAAGAACTTGATAACTAAATAACTTTAGTATAAACATACCATTAGTATCTATCACTCATACTGCGCTGTGATTGGCTACTCTACTAATGGTCCAATTTGTGATAGACCACTCGCGGGAAAATAAAAATAAATAAATTATAAATTATTTTAAGGATATTTCAATTTGTTTTCATTATTTGACGGATTAGTATGTTTATACTAAAACAATTAGACCTCTCGTCCTCGTGGACTACGAGCTAATAGCCCATTCGGCCTCGCTGACTCGGCCTCATGGGCTATTAGCTCGTAGTCCACTCGGGTGAGTGAATAAAAACTAAATAAAAAGATAAACGAGGAGCATTAACTGAATAGATAAAGAAACAAAGAAAACAAAGAAACAAATAAGTAAATAGATAAATGAAAAATAGATAAATGGATCAAGCGAAAATGTGTGAGGAAACTGAAAGAAGAAGGGGAGGGAAATGATAGTGATAACTAAACGCTCTTGGAGCGTGAAGTCGGACTAGCTATTTTTGAATGTATATCATGGCGTAGAATATTATATTTTTTACTTCTAATACATAGTGAAAGCAAGAATGCGTGACCGTTTATTCACACGACACGGACGATACGATATTCTTTTCGACTGCTCTCTGCAACGACTTCAAAACGATAGAAATCTAAATTTTGACCTATAAGGTCATGTAATTTATAAATACTTAGAGACTATCTAATTATTGTGCAAAGATTCGTTTGCCAAACCAAGGATTTGTCTCATAATGCCGAAGTCCAGATGAAGCGCAACTGCTTGTCACAATGATGACATAGCTGAAACTAAGGTGTCGAAAAGGCGTAAATACGTTTGCAATTTTGCAGAGTGAAATTTTTGTGCGTCATCTTTGAACTTTGATATTATTGTTACAGCTTAGGAGAATGTTGGCTGGCTTATTCTATGTGTAATTTCTTTTCTTGTTTAAATTTCATTGAGAAAGACATTTTCAGTGGAGAATGGACCATTCAGAAATATGAACTTAACATTAACATAACACGAGAATGTTGGATTTTTTTTTACCGTCGTCGTCCGTCCGTCTTAAATAGGCAAAGTACATTTTACGTGTTGTACTATCTTCTTCCTTGCATGGTCCTAGCGGTTCTTGTGCTCATAAGCTTTGCTATTCCTCCAGAAAGTGGCGAAAGGATTGGCTTTATTTCATCTCTCTTTATAGCTTTAAGCGTGTACCTTTTCCTGTTTTCTGAATTGCTTCCAAATGCAAACCGAATTTCTTTACTTGGGCTCATTTTTGCAGTAGTGTTTTTGGAGACAGGGTTGGCACTAGTGGCTACCGTACTGGTCCTAAAAGTTTTCCATGCTACTTGTGACGTTCCTCAATGCATTGAAAAGCTATTTTGCGCAGATCGCGCTGCTCGAAAGGGCTTACACCACATCATGTATACAGGTCATCAATCAGGGTTCGTGCTACATTGTCACTACAAAATTCCAGGTCGGACTTTTTAAGTACTTTTTAAGCACAAAAATAAAGCGAATTTCAGAGGCGATTTTCAAAAGTAGCCACATACAATCCAAAAGCTAACAAACAACATATATATTTCATTAGATTCAAGGAATTTTCCAGAGGTTTAGTGATTTTTTCTGTTTTCAAGGCCTTTTCAAGCGCCCCTTCAAAACAAGGTTTCAATTGCAGGACTTTTCAAGAATGGGACTAGAACACAGGGTCACACAGCTATACCTTCACGAGAATTTATTCTTCAAGATAAATTAAAATAATGCATAAATTAAAAACGTAAATACACCTAATTGAAAGCAGGTTCCAATACGGTATATCATCAAAGCTAGGACCGGAAGGGAACATGGGAAAGCATACTTTATGTGTATAACACTGTTTCATTGCCAAAAGATTGCTTACGCTGAATACAACGACCTTCTCTACGAGTAATGCTACAATTTGTAATACGCTTAGCTAAATGTGATTTGAATTTTCGAGTACCTAAAATATCCTTCGATGATATCACCTACGAACCGACGTTTTTTTCAATTAGATGTATACTGTCCATATTTTGTGCCATAGCACTAGCATCCATTCTTCCTTTGAGTTGATGACTCCTTTGATTTCTATTCAAGTGTTATTCGAACAAAACGGTACTAGAGACTATAATTGGATAACATAAAAACAACTCTTACCTTTCATCACTTGTATAATGCATGATATTGAATTAGCGTAAATCAGACATTTTATTTTGCTGTATTTTACATAAGGTGAAAAAGAAATATATAGGTAAATGCTGTCATGTACAAATTATTATAAATTGCGTATATAAATACTATGTATCACTGCCATTGTTTGTGCTCGAACTGTTTTTGGTTTCGCTATTTTCGACATGAGAAAGTTCTTCATCTAGTCTTTCTTTTGCTCTAACAACCTAAAAACATAAATTACTAATTTTAAGCATTCTTAAATTATATACTGTATAATTACTATAAAGTCTTGATTCACTATGGTGTATGACCATAAAAGAAAAAAAATGTCGATTTATGTAGTTTTCGTTAATAAAATAAAATAAAGCAGTAAATTCAGAGTGTTTACCAACAAAAGATTAACAAACGTTTCATGCCCAAATAGAAACTACCACTTAAGATATAGTGGTGTCCATTAACCCATGGACTTAACTTTGGCGTTGTGCGTTGTGCACTTGATAATTCCGAAGTATTTGAGGTATTACATTTTTGGACACTTTGGCTATTAAAATTAGTCTCCTTCGCAGCCTCCCCTTTTGTCGGGCTTCCATTTGGGAGGGACAGGAAGCCCGACAAAAGGGGAGGCTGTGAAGGAGACTATATTAAAATTTGCTTTACGGATAATTGAAAACCCCTCTACAAAGATAGTTCAAAGATGCTTGAAAAGAGTGCATTTATTTAAAGCCTGAACATTAGTCTTAACATTTTATGCTACTTTCAGGTATTTTTTATTTTCTTTTTGCATAACTAAAAAGCATGACACACTTATTAACAACCAAGAACTAATTTGATTTAGTTACCAACTACAATTCACTGGGGTATGAACACAATTCCACAAAGGAAATTTTCTTTGTTTACGGCTGATTGAATTCGTAGTTAGTTGATAACTAAATCTTATTATTACCTAATTAGTTAAGATTTGTTTCACACTTATGTGGCATGCAATCTAGAATGTACACTTCCTCCAAGTCTTTCTCATGAAACTAACAGTATATGATGAAATTCCACCAGGGGGGTAATAACACCCCAACTTGGGTAAAGTTGTACAACCAGGACCTCAAAACCCTGACACTATCACAGACATAGAATTTCAATTTTGATACGCTACCCCAGACTAAAACTAAGAATTATACACCCTATTTTGCTTACTTACAAAGAAAATACAGTCAGATCAAAGCAAAAGTTGGTCATGGGTACTRTTAATGCAGCTTGCACACATTCAAGTCAAAGTGCCCAGCAATAACACATTTAACATTTTTCCTCTACACAAAGATTTCAACTGACCATAGGTTAAAGCATTTAGAAATTTATAACTTTTTTTTTGCAAGAATACATGTAGATGTGAAATATTATATTGAAGAATTTGAAAATGAACATGAGGATCTTACATAAATAAATACATTACCTTTGACTGTAAATAAAATGAGCCTCCTGCTTTTTTGTCATTGATTTTGAACAAATGGTCATAATTCTGGAAGCAAATTTAAGTCACATTAATATTCATACTGAAAGAATGATCAATAATTTTGTACAAATAATTCATCACTTATCACTTCAAAGGCCATGGTCAATTCACATTCAATGCATTTATCTTTTAGATTTTAAATATACAAAATAAGTTGACTTCATAATAATATTATATGTGATCATAATCTGTTTCATCATTTTAAACTACCCTCCATCACTAATAGTCATAATAGTCTAAATCTACAATTAAGTATAAATTTCTCTTAACTTTCTCTTACAATTTATACAAGACCTTGTGATAAAGCTATTGTTATAATGTTCAGTCTTACATTTTGGGACAGCAAACTTTCTTTTGCGACGGAGCGTGTATTGTGAAGCATATTGTTTTCCAATACATCAAATCCAATTTTCAAACAAATAAACAAATAAATCTACAGTAGTTAATACGTGTAATGGGCCACTGTAATGCTTGAAAGACAGAAGTCAATAGCATAAGCATGAAAAAAAGAAGATTCTTGAGACCATTTCCAATCATACTTATTGCAGATACCCTAACTATGCTAGGCCATATTTCAAATGAATTTAGAATCTTTCTTCAGCCAATCCATTACAAAGAGGACTTCTTTGTATTTGTGGCATGGTTGGATTGGTTAATTATCCTTTCCCTTGCCTTGCCATGCTTGTAGACATTTGAAATTGTTTTAACAATTAAAAAAGGCTTCAAGTATGACTTGATCATTAAATGACACCAGGTCCCTGTCCTTGTCATCATTTTTAGAGGAGAACATTTTAAATCATTCAATCAACAATTATTGTATAGGCTCCCTGTGTTAAGACCCAACGTTGTTTTATGACAATTCTATACTTTGTTTCCATTTAACTTATTAATAATCATGAACTATTAGACCAATTGGGGCAAACCAGTTTACTCACATGACCTTTAATTATACCAGAAAAGTCTGAGCCAGTAGTTTCCACCATATCCTTATAGAATTAAGATTGAGATCTTATTACTAACATTATATATTATAGTTACCTACTTTTTGTATTGCTTCTTTGTCAATGTCTTGAATATTTAGTATTTGTTTAGCTTCCTGGAAAATAAAACTGAGTGTGAATTTCTTGCAAGTTCTAGGAAATGAGAGAAATATAAAACATTTGGCTGCATATTTCTATGCAAATGATTTGTATATTTTTGTGAATCTTATTAAAATAAAGTATCAAACTACCACTTCCTGTGTATACTTAATGTACACTCTTTCCTGGTCACTATCTTCACAAACATTTTCAATATTTCTTTAGAGGATGGGGCAACTCCAGGAGAGGGGTACAGGGTACTCAGGAGATCCTCAAAATTATTATAAAATACAGAAAACAAGGGATGGTGTTAAAGCATCTGCAGTTCAAGTCTATACTGTACATTAAAAAAGCTCACTGGCAGGATACATGATACATACAAGCAGAGCCTCAAGTCCATATCAGCACACATGATGCTTACAACTGGTGGCCTAGCTGTATTGTATTGTACTGCAAGTTGATTTGGCACGTGATGAGTCTGATTTATTTTTCATGTATTTCAGTTTGACAAAACTATTTCCACAAAATATAAAAAAAAATTCAAAATATTGTTTTCTCACACTGACTTTCTTTAAGATACCACTAGTTTTAACTTAATGCACTCTGAGGACTAGTGCCTGTAAGCATTCAATCAATTTACAAAAATATTCTTTTAAATACCTGTATAGTCATTCCCATCATACTATTTGTGGCTGCTCTTTTTGCTCCTTCATTTGCCCCAGCAGCTGCCCTTCGTGTTGCTGCACCACCTTTTAAACAAGCAATTCAAATAAGCATTGACCAACAGTAGGAAATCATAATGAACATCATAAACAACAATTGTTCCTGATTTAAAATGTTTAGAGTTAACCATTTAGATTTGTCAAAAGTTAGGCAACAAATAAGTATTTCCCAATCACATACAAAAACACTGTATCAATTAAGTTAGCTTAAATAGATACCTCTGAAAAGCACAAGTAGCCTCCAAAGAATCGATTTCAGGTAGTTTGCTAGCACTTAACCTCTACCAGAAATGGATGTTTCAGAAGCTAATTGGATTTGATTGTTTTTACATGTACATGTAAACTAAGAGAGGTTTACTAGAACAAATCTCTATAAAAGACAAGACTTACATGTACATCAAAACTACTTACAGGACAAATGAGCATTTAACAACTTTTGACATAATTATGTAACTTTTGACTAATAAATGTTGTTTTGTTGGGGCATCTATTTTCAGAGCATACAAAAAATTAGGCTCAGTCTCCAGCCGTCGGGATTCTGTGCTCCCGCAATACTCTCTCCCCTGACGGCTGGGTGCATGGGGTTCGAAACGTGTCGCGCATGTCCGTGACGTTTTTGTGAATTTTTGTGAAAGTGAATTTTTCAGTGAAATATCTGACAACAGCCGTATTAAAAGGTTTTGCTACAAGACGGGAAATTATGTGAAATGAAAACTTGGCGAAGTGGCGATATAATGTAATAGTTAGCGTTTAAAAAAGAGAAAGGAATGGAAATTACCCCAAGTAAAACATGTGTAGGGTTTTTAAACCAAAATAATAATAATAATAAAAAAAAAAGACCAGTACAAGAAGTCTTGTACTGGAACAAATTAGATTAAGTAATGGCCCGAGTAAGAACTAGAGAAGCAAATGGCAAAGGAATGCAAGAAGGTGCTAATTGTGTATTGTATAATCCATCCATCCCATTGGTTTAAACAAGAAAATCTGCTATAATTTTACAAGTTAGCGCATTTTCTAACATTTATTTAATATCTGATTCCAACTTCATGAAAGCTTTCTTTAGCTACATATTAAGGCAATTCTATGTGGGGAACATAGCAAATTAGAAGCTTCTTTTGGCTATTGTTTTGAGTGCTTATGATTGGATAAGAGRTTTTAATACAAAAGAAACTTTGTTTCAAAATAGAGTTTATCCACATTTTATTTCAAAATGTGTTACCCATAGGTTGATATATAATCAGTGTGAAAACCAAGACATTCGTATGTGGGGAAGTTGCTATGCCGCAGAACAATAGAGAGTTCTATAGTTTTTACGCACATTGTTATAACTTAAACTGGTTCAAAAATATATTGAACCTGAACTACAACATATACAATAGCGAAATCAATGATGAAACAAAACATAAACTAAATAATGACTTAAAGGATATAAACTGGGAAAATATAAAAGTATGTATTATATAAATATTATAGATGAAATAACTAAATCATTTGATGAAAAGAAATTCACTATTGGAATATTTTTAGACATTTATAAAGCATTTGATACTGTAAACCATAACATACTTTTACAAAAACTTGAAAATTATCATGGAATACGTGGGGTAGCACTAAAAGTAAAATGGTTTAAAGATTACTTAACAAATAGAAAGCAAGCAGTTAAAGTCCACCTCACCCAATTTTTTTTATATTTGTAAAGAAAAGACTTTTGTCATAGTAACAACAATTTGTACAAACAAATTTGATTTCGTTTATTTAAACTACATTTTGAAGCGAAAACAACCGCGGACAAAGCCAATTTCGGGATTCCTGTGTGCCTGATCATTGTCTTTGTGATGACGTAGAGGGAGTAAGTCGTTCGAGAGACAACAATAGATACCTACAGTGAAATGACAGTAAAAATCAAATCTGAAACAAGAGAACTTGGAATTTGAACAGCTGTAAATACTACCTACATATATTGAAAGAAGTTACTTACCTGGGGCCGTAAATAACTTTTCCTGTTCCTCGATATTTATCTAAATCTATACGCAACACTTGTTTGTCMAGAATAATCTCTCAACACTTTGGCTCCATTTTTATAGCAAAGACATGAAATGACGTTCAAATCGTTAGAATAATCTCTAGTAGCATTAGATTTGACGTTTCAGGCTGGATTATCCCACGTTCAGTCTTAGAAAACATAGATTTGTAATGAAATATGTRVAWCTTGTACAGTAAACTTTGTATTTACCGAAGRACGAGTTACTCCATCTACGTCATCAACCCAGGCTCCCTCGCACTCGGCCAAAAATCATTTGGCCGAATTAAACGAGCATAAAAAATGTAAAATTTGGAAATTCGAATTTTTTTTATGTGAATTTGTGGTTTATAACTCCTAAACTTTTTTTTCCAAYTGTAAAAAAAATTGGGTGAGGTGGACTTTAAATACCATAACATAATTTCAGATGATATGAACATAACTTGTGGTGTACCACAAGGCTCAGTCCTTGGACCTTAATTGTTCCTAATTTATATAAATGACATCTGCAAAAGTTCAAGTTATTATAATCCTTTTTAATATTTGCAGATGACACAAACATATCATGCATCTTATAGGAAAAATAAATGAAGAAGTAACTCTTAAAGGTAGCAAATTGGATCAGTGCAAATACTCTATCCTTAAAAATGTGAAAAAACAAATTTTATAATTATATTTAAACAATAAATAAAAAGATTATGAATAACTTTCTCAAATTATTATGAACACAGCAATGAACTTTTCAAAAACCAAGAAATCTTAACAATTTATCAAATTAATAACTATTTGACCTCTCAATTTATGTATAAATATATCAACAACATGTTACCATTAGATATTTTTTCAAATTATTTAAAAACAAATAATGAAATACATGAACATTATACTAGATCTTCATCCAAATAACATACAAATTTTACCAGAACAAATTATAAAAAAATTTCATTAAAACACTATGGTATAAACATTTGGAATATTATTGACAACAATATAAAAAGTAGCATTACATTTAGTAGTTTTAAACGGAAAATGAAGGTGTGGCTAGTCAATTCCTAGACATATATTTCTTATATCAATATGTTATTATTAGTATTAGTATTATTATTTTTTTATCATTCTTATATATTTAAATAGACAATATTACATGAGAGCGCGGAGATACAGATTTTATCTTCGAGTGTTGAAATGATCTCTCACGAGTGAGCTTAGTGAACGAGTGAGAGATTTTCAACACGAGAAGATAAAATTCGTATCTCCAAGCGACCATGTAATATTCTGTTTATCATATAATTACATATGAAAGCAATTATGTCGTAAAATTCCTTTTTTTCTTACTTCCGCTATATGGAGAAACCTTGAATGTGTTATTTTCACTAGTGAACTAGTGAAAATATTAATTTTACGAAATGGAGAAATATAGGTATTTCATATATAACTAGACGCATAGCTGCGTGAACTCGGGGTTCTGCTTGAATATATCATAAAACGATGAAGTGACAACAATGAGTGTTGTAGTCGAAGAATTGAGAAGAATTGGACTATATTGAACCTTAATAAAGTTTTAACTACTAAAATAGTCATACTATCAAAAGGCRTAAAGCAAAAAATACTTCCTGGAATAACAAATAATAAAAAAACAATGTACTCAGCATAAATATCATGAAAAAATTGATCATCAGCAAGCCGGTCTTTGATAGTCACATGACAGGCTGTAAACACAGAGTCTTTTATCTTCTCCGCTCTTCCATTCGTCGGCTTTTCCTCAGAAGAATCTGTTCGCATTCCTTAGACGAGACCTTAGTAGTTTCAGAGCCTGCATAAGTTTGTATACAGTTCGCCTGTGCTAAGATAGGTAGCTTGTTTGATAGACAATTCTCGATAGACTCGATCTTGATAGACAGTAAGATAAATTCTCGATAAATTTACGTTATCTTCTGAAATTCCTTTTTCGGAAAAACGCTGGTCATATTTTATTGTGGCTTTGCCACGAAAGTGTGGATATTTTAAAGTGATTTGAGCGTATTTGTAGACGTTGAATTTCTGTCTTCTTCCACCTCGCGTATTACAGTCTCGCCGACTATTCTCATCAGTTTGCACATGATGTCATCAGTCGAAAAAAATTCTAAAATCACAGACACACAACATTAAAGTACTAAAATACCTTGAAGAGCATAATAGAAGTTCTCTCTGAAAGTTTCAACTATTTTTGCTGTTTATTCGTTGAGTTATTAACGTTCAAAAATATGTCACGCAATACTGTCAAGCTACTTGAAACACGCCAAATTAACCTCGGAAAGCCTATAAATCTTAAAGAAACTATAGTCTCAGCATTAAATTAAATTTTTAGAATGATATTGTTAGAAAACTGAAGCAAAATCATTACTTTTGAGCTTATTTCGACACTCGGAGTTACTGTCCACGTGGTTGTGTACTGGATAGTACACCATCAGGGCTTTCCCATACATTCCCTTGTAAAGTAAGACCATATTCAAACGCTTATATTTTTGCTAAAAAATCGCAGTTTGACTTCAAACTTTGTATAATTGTTGGGAATTATATGCTGTTTTTGGCCATGAACATGAAAAATTCATTTAGATCTTAAAACACAGCCTTTTGTAGTTATTTCTTGACCTGTCTAAAACGCATTGAGCTGTGATAATCCCATACATTCTTACCAATTTTSGTTTGCTCGTATTTCTGTTAAAAAGCATTATTTTGGCTCAAAATTTCGCAATAATACTTTCATTTAGATGTTCTATCAAGGACAATAATAATATTTCGCTAATTTGGTCTCTAAATAGCATTTTTAGAATAACACGTGATTATGAGCTTGGGCTACCTGTGGACAATTTGTGACTGATAAGCGACAATGAAAAAAAAATAAGAAGCCCGAAATTTAAACTCTGGGTTCCACAGGAACCCCGAGTAATTATATGATAAATATATATATTCAGTAACCTATCTTGATTTAAATTGAATCTATAGGTTATACTGTTTTGTTTGTTGATCGCCATGAAAATATTGTATAAATTAAGAATTATAGAATGTTAAAAGGAAATCTCCTAGAAAAGTCCACTTTTGGACTTGCTGAGGTTTTCTTGCCATTAAGTTAAAATGTCAAGACTTTGTAATAGCATGAAAATAAAAGTGGCGAAACCGTAAAAAAAATGTTTGCACCTTCCTTCACAGAGGAAGCTTTGACAAGTAAGTCAAGGCTCAGTGCCAAGAAATACAATATACGAAAACCTAAACTCGTCTATAATGTATTGCATGCATTTTGTTTTACACCTTCCATGATAAGTATACTGGCAACAAGCAAAGAAAAAAGAAAAACAAAACACACAAAAAAGCATAATTTGCCTGACTACTTCTTGGAGAAGAAAAGAACAAGCTGTATATGCTTTTATAATATTGTCACAAATGCTTTGTATTTGTGAGTTACCTGTGGTATTACAAACAAGAGTGTTCATGAGCTTGCTCTTTTCTTCTCTAAATCAATAGTTGGGCAGCCTATGCAAAAAACTTGAGCTTATTATGAAAAAAGAAAAACACTGGAAGCATAGCTGTCAACCCCCGGACTTTTCAATTCTGCAGATTTGTGAAATCATGATTTGGGCTTCCTATGGTGAACTACGTAGTATGTGATGTAACGGCACAAAAGGGGGGCTACATGGACAGGAAGTAAAGCTACATTTCTATTAAGCAAACAAAATTTTACGTACTTATAAGTATAAGCTCATTATTCAAAAAATAGCTTTTTTATTATAAGCGGTCATATCTTGGGTACATCTTACATTAATACCTTACCATATGTTTACAAGTTTGACGATTATCCAGGACATTTCAGCCTTTATCCAGGAGACAAGGAAATGAGGCTCAAATTCTGGAGACTCCCGGATAATCCGGGAGGGTTGCCAGCTATGCTGAGGCTAAGTTCACCAACAACAACGGTTCACAACAATTTGAGTTTTTGTTGCTAATATTCAGTATCTTCTGTCAACATGGGTCAACAAGTGGCCGTTATTTTGTCAACTGATGATTATCAAATTGTGTATTTTTTTTAACTTAATTTATAATTTACACTGATCCTGCAGTGCAAGTTAATAAACTTAGTTGTTGCATCATATAAGCTTAAGCATGAAGAAAAAAAGTACTTATAGCTTGACAATTCAACTAAATGTATGGGCATTTTTTTAACCTTTCGAAATCAAACAACATCAACAAGAAGGTACACCAATAGTCGATATGTATGAAATAAGCTTAGATTTACATTTTAAGCTTAAGAAATACGAAAAATGCATGACAAACTTACTTTGAAATTCTTGCTTTAAAGCTTGAGCAAAGGCACGTCCAATAACTTGACCGCCCAGAATGATGATTTGAGCAATAAATTTCGCCTACAATTAATCAAAAAATTCTAAATTTTACAATTTACCACTGAATTCAACGCAATAATTTCTTACCATTTTGAAACTTCTAAGATTCACATGTGTTTTTTTCGCAATTAGTCACCAGACCCTTTTGAAACTTTCCTCCCTTCCCATCAGAAATTGCGGGTAAAACATCGGTAAAACATGTACATTTCTGAAGAATCTACGGTTAAATAGTATTAGTATTTTAAAAATAGTTTAGAAGAAGGTTTTTGCGTTCTTTATTTAAATTCTTAATATTGACAAGAACAAAAATATAATCTTTGAGCGGACAACTTATAAATTACTAAATATAATCTTTGAGCGGACATGCAACTTGTAAATTTTGAGTTGTTACGAAAATGAAAAGAAAAGTGAGAATTAAAAAAGCGAACGCAAATGAAAATATCAGTTTTAATCAGTACTCTACTGTCTTGTTTTGTGACTGAAGTGTCTTTATTTAAACTAGGAGCTCATTCCTTTCCTTTGGATTGGGCTTCCTTTGTAATCAGAATAACGCAATGCATCATTGATTTACTCAGTGTGCATCGTCCATGCGGAGTCGAGCGAAGCTTTTCCTCTGCAAGTAGATCAGATTGTGTCTTAAAATTCTTATTTTCTAATTCTTCACAATATATTGACGTATTTGGTAGTGGCAATGGCCCTTTGTTACTTGGAATAGAGTTAAGTGGTTTTGTTTAAAGTGGCTAAAGTGAAGCAGAAGACGAAGGCGCCAAAACGTATGCAAGCTTAGGTTTACAGCACGGTACGTAAACTTAAATAAGCTTACCTAATATCATAAAAATTAGGTAAAACCTAATAGCGGAGCTCCCAAAAGATATGCATGTTGGATAACAATGGGATGCAAGGCACATTGGTCAGACTTAAACATGTTTCGTTAAGACTAAGCTTAATTTATTTTTGCTAACAAAAAACGACTTAAGCTTACATTAATTAAGGAATAAAAGACGAAATTCCGTGTTTGATACTCTGATCAAAACACGCGGGATGTAGGGAGAGCACGAGAGAAGCGTAGGAAACCACGACGCGTAGCGGAGTGGTTTCCAGCTTTTCGAGTGCTCTCCCTACATCCCAAGTGTTTTGATCAGAGTATCAAACACGGAATTTCGTCTTTTATTTCTTTTCTAAAATTAAAAGATTACGAAAATTGTAAAGAATTCTGACTTTTGATACGATATAAAACGATGAATTCTCCTTACATTGCAGTTGTCTGCAGCTTCTGTAGCTTCTAGACCTTCTAAAACGTTTGATAGCTCTTCTTCTGGGATATCATCCCAGAGGACATCATAAATAGGCATTTATTCGTTCATTGTTCTTGAAAATGAATGATAACAACAACAAATGCAAACGGCGGGAAAAAAGAAATTTTTGACGCGCGCGAGCGTGTTTTGATACTGTAATCAAACATGGTTTTCGACCAATCACAGCGCGCGTAGTATCCTAAATATTTTAGAAGCTTAAATATTAAACTCTTCCTCTTCAGCTTTGTCGATGCAAAGCAGTGATATATAATATATAATATGTAAAGAAAACTCATTTCTCGGACAGAAACCTATTCTCGGGCAGCTAAAAATTAGCTTTTAACGTCCCAAAACTTAGCTTCTCGTGTAGTTGAGGCGTTTTAAATCGGATATTACCCAATTCCGTATTGTTTCATGCTTCACAAGCCATTATTTACACGTGTTTTCATTTTGCAGTCATATCACTTCCGGTTTGGAATACATCTCATGCTTTTGCACGTGATTTCGAACTTTGAAAAGTAAAAAAAAACTCGAATGGCTTGCATATAAATACACAAATAATGAGAGCAAGAATTCTGATACATACACATTTATTTTTGTGTACGAAGTGTTCATTTATTTTATTGGTATGAGGGAAATATAACAATTTAAAATATTATGGTTTGTAACATTAAGGGCCCGTTCGCACTGGCCAGACAAAAATTATTTGGCTGTACCAAAATTCGAGACAAATATTCTTTCGAACAAAAATTGTTTGAAAAGTCGTGTTCRCACTACAAGCTGAGAAATTGTGGATTAGCAAAAAATATGTCAATCAAAATATAAATACGACTCCACTGTTGAGTGCTTTTTTCACGCCAAAAAAAGTTTTGGCGGCAAACTGATTGTTTACATTCATAAAAATGCGTCCCTTGGACGCTCTCGCATTTGTCTTTGCTTTTCAGCTGATGTTTAACATTCAACAACAAATCTTACTACTTCTTGGACTGCTTAGAATAAATCATAATGCACTAACCCGAAACTTGGTGAGTGTTGTCCAATACTCTGACAAATTTATGCATAGTATTGTATTGTATTGCATCCACATACATGTAAATAGATTAACAATACAACTCTTTTAAGAACGACGCAATACAATAGAATACAATACAATGGCATGCATAAATTTGTCAGAGTATTGGACAAATATGAACTTGGTAGCTAGAAATGCTCGACAGCTCCAAAGATTTCAGCCGTACTGGATGCTAGCACGACCTCAAAACTCATGGTTCGAGATACCCATGTACAGTACCGTTCCCGAGTAAAGTACCATCCATTCTCGAGTACTCGAACTCGATACGGACCGCGAGTCTCGAGTATAGAGTGAAACAATGACAGTTAATGAGGCAGCGAAAACAATGCCACTCGCTTTCACTCTTTACTCGAGACTCTAGAGTGTTTCGAGTGGAGCGCTTCGAACTTAAATTACGGAATCAAATTCACACGAAAGTTTACAAAATAGTTTGATTGCGGCTATGACAATTTTGCTTTGGTTATTAGTATGCTTCACTTGTAAGCAAAAATGAACTGGCCTTTAATGATTACCTGTTACAGCGAAAGTGAACGAATAAGAAACCATACTAAACAAAAGCAAACTGTGAATCTACACGAAGATATTCCCAAGCGTGTTTTGAGACTAATCTCGCATTTCCCATGCCGCTCAGGTCAACACGGCTTTTTGAACCTGTTTCATCTACTTTAAATTATTCTATCAAAAATTAAAACAACCGAATCGTACTGTTTTTACAAGATTCTTTAAGCTACTAAGGTTTATACTATCCTTCATAAAGCTGAAGTAGGTTTAATCAGAATTTTGTCAGGATAAGTGTTCGAACAAATTTGTTCTCTTTTGGCTAGTCGCCAAAACAACTAAATATTTCAATCAGCTACGATCATGATAACAGTAAGAGATAACAGCGGTTTCTCATGCTTTCATTTTAGAAAAGTTAATCACAGGTTGTTACGGAGTTTGAAGAACATAACGATAAATTGCAGAAATTGATAAAATATGCTTTGATAATGACAAAAAATATTGAATTATGGAAGAAAACAGAACAAATAAGCTTCCCAAAGTGCTTTAACACTGCCTAGACAGCGGAATGACGAGACAGTATGACGAGACGGCGTGACATTGTCGTGTAACCTAAATTTATATGACATTGAATTGACATCTTGCCGACRTACGATCTTGCCGATCATTCGCTAATATAAAAGSGACCGATTAGAATTTAAATTTTGACTTTTCATTAATCGTTCACTTCAACAGAAATTGTTTGTAAAACTACACTCGACACTCGAAAGTCTTTCGAGTGGAAGCCACTCGATTACACTCGCTTTTRTGAATAATTTGTTATGCATGACTCGCGAGTAACGATGGTCACTCGATAATCGCACTCTCGAGTATAGAGCGAGTGGATGGTACTTTACTCGAGACCGGTACTGTACACTATAACGATAGGAATATTCGCGAAGACTACTTTCGCCGTCAAATGAGAATGGGAAGAAATACTTTCGATCTTCTTGTGAACGTTCTTCGTCTGTATGTTCAACGGCAAGATACAAGGCTGAGAAAATTTCTCGCCAGAAAGAGTAGTAGCAATAGCAATTTACTGACTAGCTCATGGGTGGACTTACGAGAATGCTGGTGTTGCCATGAATGTAGGCAAAACTACTGCATACGAGGCTTTTTGGGATGTTGTTGAGCAGCTACATGAAACCAGGGGAGAACACTTTAAATTCCCAACAACTTCCCACTTCTACCAGGCGTTCCTGGCAGTAACTTAAACATGTGGTTGTAGTCAAGGAGATCTTTTACGATCGAAGTAATTTTGGGTTTATCGATTAATACGAGGCTATACGAAATCCCGACGACTGATATAATCACTGAAATATATGATCAAGAAACGATTTGCCCTGACCATGTGCATTCTCAGTTCTCTTTGATTGTTGTGTTTGTGCTTTCGAAGCAGAGTTGTTCTTTCTATTACAGTATAATGTATTTAAACTCTTTGCATTTGCAGTCAAGTGTGTATTTCTAAAGAATATTTTAGATTTTGTAGTGGTTTACATGGATTGTTTGACAACAAAAGTGTGATTGCTTCGCTTGTCTTGTTACAGACAAGTCCCGACCGCATGAATACTAGAGACCTTTAGATCCGAGAACGAAGACGATGACGAAGTTTGACCGCACGGAGATTGGGTCCGAATGTTTTCGTTGTTGTCCTCGTCTTGTAAAAATTGTTACTTTAGATCAATGAAAACAACGAAATTTTCAATATTTCTCGAATGTATTCCAAGAAGAACCTTTTATCTTGTGCTGCCATGATGTGTATATCGATGATGATATCGACGAGGAAGAGTTTTTAATGATGTACGATTCTTTAACAAGAAAAAACCTGTCTTTTTCATATTGGCAATACAGTCGTATTGAAAGCCAACTCAATGACATCTTTCATGCTGAATTCAAATCGGATTTTCGCTTCAACCTTTCCGAATTCAACATTTTATGTGATGCCCTAGAAATACCTGAAAAGTTTATGTGTGTCAATGGTACTACAGCGTCTGGCACAGAGGGAATGTTGATGTTTTTACGGCGATTTGCCTATCCGTGTTGCGATTTGATCCCGAGATTTGGTTGTGCAGTCCCAGAAATGAGTCTCATTCTTGGCGAGGTAACAGAGTACATTGTCGSTTCGTTCGGACATCTACTGAGAGATTTGAATCAGCCGTGGCTACAGCCCCACCATCTGGAAAAGTATGCCCAAGAAATACACAGGAAAGGTG